TCTTGAAGAAGAGCAGCAGGAGATGTTTTGGTTTAATTTGAAAATAGCTCTAAAATCCTAGACAGCGACGTTAAAGAATGACTATGTAGCAAATATACTCTGGATTTTTTTCCCTTGCCTTTTTGTACCATCACCTATTTTTTACTTGAGAATAGAGAGCTGAGCTACTGTAAATTCTACTACTTGTAGTGAGACTGTTTTCTTTTTGTAGCCATGGTCATGAATTATTGTACTGGTTTGGGCTGGAGTAGAGTTCATTTTCTTCATAGTTGCTCCTATGGTGCTGCGGTTTGGATTTGTGACCAAAACAGTGTTAAGAACACGGTGATGTTTCAGTTACTGCTGAATAGTTCTTGCGCAGCATCAAGGCCTTTCTGTTTCTCACGCTGTCCTGCCAGTGAGTAGGCTGGCGGTGCATGATAATGTGGGAGGTGACACAGCTGGGAGAGCTGATCCCAGCTGAACAAAATGATGTCCCATACCATATAACATCATGCTCGGCAATAAAAGTTGTGGGAAAGACAGAGGAAAGGAGAAGGTTTGGAGTTCTTGTGTTTGTCTTCCCAAGTATCTGTTATGTGTGATGGATCCCTGCTTTCATAGAAATTGCTAAACATCTGCTTGCAGACAGGAACTAATGAAAGAATTTGTTATTTTGCTTTTCTTACATGCAACCTTTTCTTCACCTATTGAACTGTCTTTATCTCAACCCTGAGTTTTCTCACTTTTACCCGTACGATTCTCTCCCCTGTCCCACTGGGTGAAAGTGAATGAGTGCCTGTGCGGCGTTGAGCTGCCTTCCGAGGTTAAACCACAATTGTCTACGCACGTTAATCAGCAGTGTTAGCAAAAGCTGTTTCATTTAAATATATAATGATGAAAAGTTGTTTAGATATACAGCTATGTAGTTTATATATCTTTGCCAAAGCTTTCAGAGAAAGGCTGCATAGCCAAGGGGTTTTCTGCATTATTTGTATAAACCACTTCTAGTCAAACACAATAAAAGTCAGTTTATGCAGCAAGGATTTTTGTCCTAGCTCTCCTAGTTAATGATCTAAGGAGGTATTCTCAGCAGTATTTCACAATCCCTGTAAGTTAAATGTCCAGATCTCCTGAGGATCATGGCTGCAGATCTAATGTAAAAATGCACTTTCACACTGCAGTTCTGGCTGTTGTAGCATGTATGTTCTATGGCAGATGACTTTCTCAGTGAAAGACACCTATGAAGCATGATTTCTGTCTAGTTTCTTTGTGCCGTATGTGGGAATAGATGCTTCAGAGTAGGGTCAAAATACTCTTCTGACTTGGTCAAATGGAGTTTAAGCTTATTCTCAGCTAGAATGTGGGAAACACTGTTATATATGTAGTCTTTGAAACCAACACCATATTACTCTCTCTGATCAGCAGCCTTAGCACAGGCATAAAAAGGGTGTTTCCTACCTTTCTGCTCTCTCTGTAAACATAGTCCAAAAAACCCAGAGTGGGTAGAGAGCACCTCACCTCAGACATTGTGTTTGCTGTCAGCCGGGGCCATGTTTTCTCAAGAAGATTGCTGGGACAAGGCCTCTAATTGCTGAAAAAGTGGAATAGATAGGAGACACTGGCACCAGGCTCTTCCTTCAGAGATGATTTAAAAAGAAAGGGGTATCTTAGGTGATACCTGCCTTGCAGCCACAGGAAATTTCAGATGAACCCTACCAGCTTGAGTCTGGTAGGCCAGAGGATCAACTAACTTCTGGATCAGGTCGGGGCTTTGGCACACTGTAGGATGTTTCCGGCCATATACAGAAGCAGATCTTAAAAGCCTTCACATGGAAACGCCTACAGCACTCGGCTGTATCTGTGATGTGATCATGTCCAAGTTAGTGTTATTATTGTTGTATTTCGGTCTTGGGCATCTAATATGTACAAAATCTCTGTTTAAACACCTCAATATTTGTAATTGAGCTGGTACATGGGAAGTCTCATCTCACAGCTAATTACCTGTTGTGTTACTGCTCTTAGGAAGTTCTCCACAGAGCAAATGTGTCAGTGAGAGCAGAAGTCCCCCTGTCCTTTGCTAGGCATTGAGAAGGCTGAAGACAAACATTCATTACACCCACAATTAGGCAACTCTGGTCACGTAACGCAAATGAATGGTTTATTTACATGCATTTGTGCATATATGAATACAGGCATAACACGTTATAAGATTTATTAACTTTGCTACTTCATCTAAGCAAACAAAGACACCTTTCTGGGTACTGAAAATTGCTCTTTCATTCATTTACTTAATGCTTTTTTAATTGCATCATTTCCTGGTTTTAGCATCTAAACCTTAACGTCATGTGTAGATGGCTTCATGCAATCTTTGCTTTATTGTCATACATATATTAAAGTGTAAATTAAGCTAGTCTGTATTTCTGATTTCTAATAACAATGTAAAGATTCTTAAAATACCGGCCATATTTCATCTGAGTTCAAAAGCTATTTCAGCTAGTCTAACTACCTTTTAGGACCAGCTTCTCTGATTCCTAAGCAAAACTGCCTGTTCTTGCATAAACATGCTGCGTTTCAGTTCCTCAGTGTGGCCAGGGTATAGATGTCAAACATTAGGCTGTTAAGCAGCAAAACTTGTGCATCCATTTTGATCTGGGTTTGTTTGGTTGTTGGGTTTATGGTTTTTGGGTTTTTTTTAAACAAAAAGCAATAGCAACATATGGAATTGGTGGTTAGGGACCTAACTTCATCCTACTGTGTTTGAGAAGCTGGTTATTGGAAGGTGAGGCTTTTAGGAATGGCACCAGAAAGTCAAAGAGGACTTAATATAGGACCCCCACAAGCAGGCCTATCTGACTACCAAGCACACCATAAACATTGCTGTGGTTAGAGCTTTTTGTAAATGGCCATTGGAAGATGTACAAGTTACAGTACAACAGCTCTTGAAAGAAGTGAGGGAAAAAAAAGCTAATGGTAATCTTGTATTATCTTACATTAACCAAATGAACAAACTATTTGGGAGCCATTTTTCAGAATTTGCTGTATACAAAGCCATTGTTGACTTAAAGCTCTCCTTATCTGCCGCACAATTTTCTGTAGTCAGAATTTCAACTGGAAGACACTACCAACATATTTAATAATGAAACAAATTTAAAATATTTCTTTTCCTTTTTTTAAGGTGATATTCATTCTAAGAAATACTTCCATTTTTTTCCTAGCACAATCTTCCCATTAAAGACAGCAATTTCTTTTAATTCTTACTTTGAGAAAATCGAAAAATACTTTAAAAGCATGCTGTACAGTCTTTCTGTAATGCAAAAAGAGGCACTATCATGCGAAAGGGTGTATAGCACACCAGAGTTCAGCCAACCGCTATTTTCTCTGGCCTTTTAAAATTAAGTACAGAATATGCATATAATTGTAGACAGGTAAATGTCCAACACTTTGCATTCTCACTAATCTGAGTCCTATTCTAGACCCAGAATTAATACCTTGGGCAATGCCTATAACAACTGATTGCCAAAACACCAGATAGCAGAGCCAGTACAAAAGTTGTCCATACAAGATGTGTGCATTCCCACCTAATCTCCTGTTAAGGAAAATGGAGAGAAAAATGTAACAATAGGTTTGCTGTTATAATCTTGGTGTTTTTTCTTAGCCAGAATCAAAGAAAAGGTATTGGGTTAAAATTTTGAAATGTCTTCTTTTCAACTCTTCTAATTTACTTTCTTTTTTATAGGGGTAACATTAAAATTAAATATCCTCCCCACATATGGTTAAAATAGGCTTCAAAAAAGTAAGCCAAACTTTGCTTCCACTCAAGCAGGTTTCTATATGTGCAGCAGCAAATCTTCAACTACTATTTCATTTGCTAAAGTAAAATGTTGTAACTACTAAGAGAAGGGGGAATAAACAGCACTTGTTCTGAAAGTGGATTATATCAATTTTGTTATTTCATTAAAGAGCAAAATCCACTGTATGGTCTTTCTGAAACTGCGATTTACATTCTTTAAAACGTTCCTCTCATTACAAAGATGATTTCCGGATGTCTTCAAATCGAGAAGGAAAATAATATGCACTTTTCTTTTCCTAGCTTGCTCGGGGTCTTAGATAAGATAAAGGCAAACAGAACTATCATCTTCCCTAAATATAATTGTTCCTTAATAATAATTGTTTTTCCATTTATTTAGTGTGGCTATCTCATCCCTCCACTGCAGATCAAAACAAGAATTAGTAAGTAATCAGGCTATGGTTTAGAAAATCCAAATCAAAAGCACACTTGTCTTCAAATCAACTTTCTCAGGGCAGTATGGGCAAGTCTGGTTCTTGCCAACAATGCACCAACCACAGATGCAGGATTCATGAAACCTGGTATCAGGTGTATTGTTAACGAATCTTTCAAATACAAACAAGGCCCAATGCTTACATCTGCAAACCTAGTCAAACCATCAAGAGATAATTTTAATGACTGATTATGGATACTGCTTTGTTTTATAACCAAGCAGTTTCAAATTACTTAAAATACTTAGAATATTTAGATCTAATTTAAAGTTGAATCCAATGTCCTGAACATCCTGACTTCATAAAAGAAGCCAGGACACTTTTATGAACTGCAGAAGGAGATGATTAGTAACATTGTTCCAGCATGTATGCGATACCTTTCATTTTAGTTTCTGGAATGCAAAATGCTGAGTTGTTTGATACCCCCGAGTATGAGACACTGGATCTTCTGTAAGGCTGTAGGGTACGTATGTGCCCTCATCTGAGAAGGGTTCCACATCTGCCCAGCAAAGACAGCCCCAGGCACAGCCAGAGGAAATCCTTTGCGGTACACGGGACCCTGCATTAGCAGACCTGCCCAGCATGCCTGGTCTAACATACTGCCAGGCACACCCACACAGGCTGTGCATGAAGTACCTGGAAGGCGGGTTTAGGCATGAAACTGTAGGGTTATGGCCACTCTTCCATCAGTTGTCTGTCAAAAAGCTGCATGGCCTCAACTTGTGTCACAGAACTGAAATACATTTCATGCGCCTATTTTTACTTTTGTGCTATGTTGTTTCTGAGTGTGGTTTTGGTTCCTTTTTTTTCTTGATATTTTTTGCCGTTGTTATTGTTTTTTAATGCAGCATAGAAGAGGAGAAAACAACAGTTCCATAATTACGTGGAAAGGATACACATGATTACGGGACAGCTGGTAGGTATTTTCAATGATCCCTTCTTCATTTATGTCCACAAAATTTTCTGCCCGCAGACTGCACAGTTGTCATTGGACAAATTTCTTGTTGGTATGCCACTGATGTTGTAAAACTGTCAAGATCAAGTTTACAGGAAAAAAAGAAGCCAAAACCCAACAAAATATTTGCTTAAAGTCAAGGATGCATAAACACATTTTAAGTGCCATCAAAGATAAGGACAGCACAAAAATGGCTACAGTTGTCTTAGTTTACTAGAACCAGGATGCACAGTTACCAAGAAATAATTAAAATCTTATTGTTGATGCAAGAATTTTAGCAACTGTCTGCTTGATTTTGAGTAACTGAGACATAAAAGAATTGTGCTGAGATAATCACCTTATTTGGAAAGGGAAGAGAAGAGCTACAAAAAGAAAAGGGCAAGCAGAGTCTTTCACAGACTATGGGGAAGTAAGAAGCTTGACTTCCTATGGCAATTAAAATTATGTAGTCTCATGTACATAGGGACCCACCTGTTGGAAACCCCAGATCAGGCCCTGGCACATGTCACTGGCTACTACTTCATTAAGACTATTCTAATCATAAGATTGACAAGGG